GAGGATTCATACCTTTCCCAAGGGTATTAGCACGTAAGTGAATGTAATGGATTCGACTGGAATTCGAACTCGGCTCTCTGATTCCTCAATCCGACCCGTTAGGAACCAGTAATGCTAGAGAAAAGCAATGAATAACAAGTGCCTCCTTTTATTATAAAATTATAATAAATGGTTTTGTTTTGTTAATAAATAAATCAGCAGAGAAGAAAGATTCATCTGGCAAAAATGCAATAATAATACTAACAGAAAAAAATTGCAATATGAGCTCTGGTAAAAAAAAAAAAAAATAGGGTGAGACATGAGATTTATAAGTCCCAAAATTTCATTACTCCACAGCCTTTATTATAAATTATAATAAATGTCTTTAAAGGACACATGTACCTTTCCCAGGGGATAACATTCGTTGGTTGAATCGAGAGACTAGACCTTTTATTATAAATTATAATAAAAATAAATAAATAAATGAGTTCACTACCAGGCCGTAAGTGAATGTAAAGCAGTGGTGAACCAGCTATCCAAAACGTGGAAAGTTTTGAGTTAATAAATAAAGGGAAATACCTTTCCCTGAGACATTCTGAAGTAAGGCATGGCACTGATTCCTCAATCCGACCCGTTGGAACTAGAGAACAATCTACCCAGTGGACGATATAAATGTTTCGCTTAAGGAAATGTCCAATTCTGGAACGTACAACGTCCGAAGTTAAGGGTTGTGAAGAATATGTCATTTTAGGTGTGAATATAATAAAATGAAGATGAGGATAACAGTCCGGACAATTTGAATGCATATATATATATATATATATATATATATATATATATATATATATATATATATATATATATATATAGAGAGAGAGAGAGAGAGAGAGAGAGAGAGAGAGAGAGAGAGAGTTGTATATTAAGGCAGCAATCCTTCGTTTATGCATGTTTCATTAAAAACGACAGACAAGTTAATACGGTTAAGCTTTTTATTTAATTTTTCAAATGACCTTTAAGGAACTGTTTTCCTGATCAAACCGGACTCATAAATAATTACATCGGTCACACAACTACATGCCTATCCAGACGTCTTACGTGATACCTATCTGATCACAGCTTCATTAGAACCCATTTAAACACACACACAAACTTACCAGACTCCATTAGAAACATACTAGTAGAAAACACAAATATAATAACTTCATCCACTTGTAAAAAAAAAAAAAACAGATTAAAAATAATGGAAGCTTTAATAATAAAAAAAGAAAAAGCCAACTCTTAACAATATTAACTTCGAACAAGGCCACAATGTGTTAACCGTATTCGGAAATTAAAAACATCCCTTCAAGACTCTAAAACATACACGTAATGCACACACTCAATTAAGCTGAAAATTCGAATCATCCTTGATAATGGCTAAAAGTATAGCCGAAAGCGCTCGGAACTATAAAACATTTGGACAGTTCTTACACACTCTTTGTCCAGAAAAGAAAGCTCTTGTTTGAACACAAGAAAAATTAAATAAAAAGCTTAACCTTAGTACCTTGTCTATCGTATTTAATGAAACATGCATATATATATTTAATGAAACATGCATATATATATATATTTATATGTATGTATGTATTAAATACGAAAAATTTGAAATAAGTAGATTTAAATATAAGACTTTTGATGTTATATATATATATATATATATATATATATATATATATATGGCAGACATGTGTGTTGATATACTGGATATTATGAGGCATTTATTTAAGACGAGCGTCAAAGCTATTCAACTATCAAATAGAATTCACTAATTTATGTGAACAAAATCTGGCCGCACACCGACAAGTATTTTTAGGATGCTGATTTGTAAGCGAAATTAAACCCCAGGAATAGACAATCATCCCATGTCAATTATGATGCTTTAAAATGAAAGATAAAACTTTTAGATAAGCTAAAGTTGTCGATAGATACGATATACAGCGTCTTATAATAAATAAAAAGCCAGTTAAAAAATAAAAAAATTGAACATTTGTTTAATACACTCTAATATTTTATTTGCTGTTTCCAGGCTGTTCTTTTATTCGTTTCCGGGGATTTGGAAGCCATTTTTAATTTGTAAAAGGACTTCCTGGGTGAAGGCTGGATAAAAAGCTTGTATGCCACCCACTTCGAAATAAAAGATTTATTGATTTATTCATGTCGAATTTTACGAGTCTTTTAAATATTTTTTTTTTGACGCAAGCATTTATTTGTACGTTTATAAATTGATTCAATCGACACGAAGCGTCTTGAGAGAATTCAAATAAAAAGGGTCTTTTTGAATTACGAATATTACCACATTCGTACAGAAATTAATAGCAAATAAATAATAAAAAGAAAATATCTTTTGAAAAGGACAGAGAGACTGAATACAAATTTGAAACTTAGTTTTTCGCTGGAGACGTTTTCACACCCGAATAGGTTGAGAAAGAATTATCTGGAACATATACCTCCAAGAAATACCTACCACCAAATAGTAAAACTTTAATTGGCAATGGTGCCTACAAATATCCACTATTTTACCCACATGGAGATATTATTCATCCACAGACAGACCGTTTCGAATAATCTATTTTCCTAAAGAAAAAAAATTAGATCGCATGAAAAATTGTATAAATAAACTAAATAAAAGCACCTGGTCTGTCGTATTCAATGAAATGTGCATATATATATATATATATATATATATATATATATATATATATATATATATATATACACAAGGGGCCATAATATAAGGAACGGAAACAACAAAGGCATAAATATGTGTATTACTTAAAAAGTAATGCATGATTAGCAATGAAATTTTTACCGAATAAAGATTAGGGCGTAATGCCTAAATATTATACAAAGTAACATAAATTTACTTAATATTTTTTTTAAAATAAAGATTAAATGGAACAAAGGAAATAAGCTACTGGATAAAGGTTAAGGAACGATCTTGTTAATACTTGATTGTGAACAAAATATCAACAAAATTTAATATTTGGTAAACATCCCCTTATTTTCAATGATTTCTCTGCATCGTCGACCAGATGATCTAATTAATTTCTTGCAAAAATCAGCAGTAATTTCCTCCCATTCATCTTTCAATAACTCCCATATGTGATCCTGTTTTTTCGGGTTTCTTTTCTGAACCCTTTCTCCAATTATCTTCCAAACATTTTCTATTGGATTCAGGTCGGGGCTCTGGGCTGGCCACTTCTTTCGGGCGATTCCTTCTTCTTCAAATAAAGCCATAACCTTCTGAGCCTTGTGGCAAGGTGCATTGTTCGATAATTCCAAAAAGGATGAAATTCCTGAGAGCTCAATGTTAATTCAGAGCGAATAAATTAATTTAAAGAAAGACAGACCACTTCAAGGCTCCATTTGTAAAAATTTATTTCACCAGAGAATTTTATTTCTCTCTGGATCTTCACTTTCAAAAGGTGAAACGAAAAATGAATTTAAAATTTACACTTTTGACGGGCAGTATTAAGCTTATATAAGTTGACATAGAGGGTGGTGAGGGATGGTATGAGAGACATGGTCAAGTTTATTCATTCAAATACTAACACTGTAACATTACTACTTGCAAACACACACACACACACACACACACACACACATCTCTCTCTCTCTCTCTCTATATATATATATATATATATATATATATAGTTTCTCATGTATGCACAAAGGACATGGGAAAATTCGCTTGAGGATGAAATGGAACTAATGTCTTTAATTTAATCACAAAATTAAATTCGGGGGCTTTTAGCTTCCATTTTGAAACATGGTTAGAACTGTGTAGTGAAAAAAAAACATATTTTAAATCAATTAATTTATAATATTAATGCTCTGTAAATTTACATTGAGCACTATTTTGTAAAAATAAAAATATCTATAAGAACACGGATTATATATCTTACTGTTCTTTCTTTATATATATATATATATATATATATATATATATATATATATATATATATATGCCGTGACAATATTTCGCGGCTCACTTAAGAAGATCGCCCGGCGCACCAGTGTGCCGTTGTCCGGTGGTTGAGCATCTTTGTTGTAGACAGAGCTAAAATGTTGACTGTTCACGAACAAGCGTCAAACGAGGCCGCGACAAACGACAAAAGAGACGCCGTCCGTTTTTTGCTGTCTGTAGAGAGTTCTAAATTAGATTCCAAAGACATCAAAGCGAATTAAATCGTAAGAATTCTGGCTGATTTAAGGGGTGGGTGGGTTGGGGATGAGGGTTGTTGAGATACTGGCATTTGTCTTTAACTCCAAGACTGAGCAAAATTCCACAAAGCAGGGAATTTGCTTGTTGGTGGAAGTCGTCGTCCTCGGAAGGCGACATTTTGCTTTAGTTAAATATTACGATCGACTAAACCGAAATTAAATAAATTCCGGACGCAGTTAATTGAAACATTGATTCGCATATATTACGCCATATTGACTGACAGATTCAAAGCAACAGAAATGCGGTTCTACAGACAGATACTGAGGATACCTGTTACGTTTTTTTGGGGTATGTATACTTATAACTAGTGAGCGAGTCAGAATGACTTATTTCCCTTTATAGTCAACCAATAGAAGGTTGACCAATCAGAAGCCGCCCAACACTGTATTGATAGTGTATAAAGGCGGCCATCTTGTTTCCTCCTACCAGAAGGACAAAAGGCGACCAGGAGAAGGATGAACTACACTCTGCTGCGATATCCACTGCGAACCTTCACTACGCTTTCCTACTGTCTCCGAAATATTCACTGCTAACCTCTGGATTCAATACTCGAGGACGACCGTCATGAAAATGTCTAACAATACCATGGACCGAAATTTTAGAGCAACGATGGATTTCTAGAGAAAAAAAAAAAAATTATCCAGTGTCTGTTATTGTAACGTTACAAGGCAACGTCGTGGAGAGACTATAAAACTTCTTTTTTTTTTGAAAACTAACGTTGTAAAAACGTTTTAACAAAATACTGGGAAGTGTTCTAATAGAAAACGAAAAATGCGACACTGAAATATGAAGACGGAATTGGGATAGACAAAGATGATTTCCAAAAGCTAAGCAGAGTATTAAGACACATATTTTTTTTTTTTTTTTAGAAACAAATAAAGAATATTGAACTGTTACGTGATAGATGTCTTCCTATATTGCAGTGAATGCTTGACAATCTCCTCAAAGATCAAGAAGAGACTTAAAGCAACAGAATTGTAATTCTACAGAAAGATGCTGTGAATACCCTGGACCGAACACGTGAACAACGGCGAGGTTTTGGAGAAAATGAAAACAAAAAAAAGAAGCTTATTCTTAACGCCACGAAGAGGCTGTTGAAATTTTGGGGGCATGTAATATGGAAGGAGAGCTTGGAAAATCTGATACTCACAAGGCAGACTGATGGAAAGAGGGCGCAGAGGAAAGCATCGCGTGACAAACTTGAGTTGAGTAAACGGAGGATAGAACAGGGTTCGGGAGAAATAAGAAAAAAGACGAAACATATTAAGAGCTACAAGGGACAGGAAGACGTGGAAGGCCGTGACCGCCTACGCCATGAAGGAACATGATACATAAAAGAAGAAAACGTTTATGTAATGGTCATTGATAGCCAAACGTACTTTAAAGTCAATCATTATTATCTTTTATTATATTGCCAATGTTTTGAGTGCGAATATGTCTTTATGACACATCGACTACTATATAATGGTCATTAGTGCCAATCAATGATTTTTAAGTTGATTCTCATAGTCTTTAATCCTATCTCCAGGTTTCTGATTCCGAGTGATTTTACGACACATCGACTGCTATATAATGGTCATAGACTGCTAAACAAGGATTTTAAAGTTGATTCCCATGTCCTTTAAGTCCACCTCCAGGTTTCTGATTGAGTTTGACACATCGACTACTATATAATGGTCATATAGTGCCCCAAATCTTTTTACGTTAGTCATACTCTTTAATCAGATCTCCAAGGTTTGTTTTTGGATATTGTTTTAGAGTCTTGAACCCATTCTACAAGATCCTGAATCTGATTTATTTTATGACACATTGACTTCTATACAGTGGTCAGGTAGGGACAAAAAATGATTTTGAAGCTGGTTCTCATAGTCTTAAATCACGTCCCAGTCTTTCGTCACATTATTGTAAATATGATTTTATGGCACAGTGACTCATATATTAGTCTTTTAGTTCCGAGAAAGGATTTAAGTTGATTTTTGGAGTCGTTAATCGTATCCAAGCTTTAGATTATGTATATGTTTCTATGACAAACTGACTCCTATATAATGGTCATGTTGTCCTGAATCAGTGTCTGAAAGTAGATTCACATCGGCTTTAATCATGTCTTTCATGGAGTCTTCATTTAGCCAAAGAAGGCCGACCACAGTCGGAATCACCGTGTCTTTGTAAACTCCACGATCATGTCATTAGCTGCCTAGTATGTGCTTCACCAGAGCTGTCCTTCTCCTAGACAGGTTGCCACTCAAGGTTATAGGATTTAGATTTTTTGCTATTTACCCATAGTTGGAAGGAAAAGAGATATATTCATATGTTTTCTAATGACTTTTGCTTTGAATATTTCTACCAATTTTGGTCTGAAACTCCTGCAATATGCATGGACTCCCAAAAAATTTGACATCATTTTAAAAACAATTATCTTGGAAACTACTAATTCTAGCTTAATGAAATTGAACAGTTTAGTTGTTGAACATCATAAGTTTATTATGAGACCGATTTTGTAGTTGTTCAGTATGCGCACCGCCTGTGACACGGTACACGTCAAGTCGGTAGATAAGCTCTTGCCAAACACGCTGTAGCATGACTCCGGTAACATTATCCAGTGTGGAAATGATTCCCTGCTTGAGTTCATCAATGCTAGCAGGAGGACGGGGACATAGACCAGTCCATTCACATAACCCCATAAAAAGAAATCACACAGAGACAGGTCTAGTGACCGCGGTGGCCATTTCATCAGAAAACTGTCTTCATCTCCACCACGACCGATCCATCTCTCTGGCAGATTGTCATTGAGATAACAAAAATAAAACATTAAATATAAACTCTTGATCTGCTTCTATACATTCTG